TTCCCCCATCTCCACCCTAAACCTTCTCTAAGGCCATTTTGTCTCATCCTGTCCCTTGTTTCCCCCCCTGGCTGTTCCCTCCTGGCAGGAGCTGTGCAGAGCCACAAGGTCCCCCCTGATCCCCCTTTTCTCCAGGCTGAGCCCCTTCCCAGCTCCCTCAGCCCCTCCTGCTGCTCAGTCATGATTGGGAGGGTTGGGCTTGATGGCCTTGAAAGGTCCTCCCTCACCCAAACTATTCCATGATTCTGTGGAATCTGCAGGGGCCAGGGCTGGGAACAGCAAGGATCCGCAGCTGGTGTCAGCTCAGTCTGAAAATGAGACTGGAGAGCTCAGTCTAAAAATGCCACAGAGACGGCAGGAGGTCACAGAAACCAGTCAGAGTCACTGGGATCATCCCCTGGCCTGGGACTCATGGCTGCAGCAAGAGCATGTTCCCTTTTTGGAGCCAGCTGGGAATTCAGTGCTGAGTGGGATGTTCCCAGCTAAGCCAGGGCTTGTCCTTGGTGCTTGGATTTGTAATCACAGTGGAAAAACAACTTCTTTTTGTTGTTGGGGTTTTTGTTTGTTTGTTTTGTTTTCCCTGGAGTTCCTCCTTCACTGCAGAACATCCAGAAGGAATAAAGAAACACCAGGTCCACTCTGTTCTCCCTATAAAGCCTTAACAACAGATATGAGAAGTGGTTTGGGCCATAGGATTTATTACTGATAGGGTTCAGGGTCATTTGTGAGCTGGGCAGAAGGATCCAGCAAAAATTCACTGATAAACCTAGATGTAACAATGTGAAAAACAGCTCCAAGGTTGTGGGGTTTTTTTAAATGCAGCTCAAAGAAAGAAATTTAAAAGATATGAGTCATCATTCTGCAATGTGCATCAAACAAGTTAAATAACTCTTACTTTCTTAACGACATATTAATCAAAGTGCATTGATTCTTGAATCAGATTCTACTCCCAACAAGCTCTCTATCTTCTCCATCCTGATGCATGCATTAAGAGAGTTTTATTCTGACAGATACAATATAGCAATCAATAAAATCTTATTATATGGAGCAGGGATACATGGATTTGTTGCAGGATTTATGCACTACTTTCAAACCCGGTGCTATTTCATGTCTCAGCCTTAACCTGTAATTGAAAATAAATCTCCCTGAATACACCAGATTCTAATTTTCTGGATCTCTGGGCAAATGTGAATGGAAGCTGCCCTTCCCTGGGGGAGCAGGCTGCTCTCAGGCCGTGTGGCTGCCCGGGGAGCACGGCTGGATTGGCAGATTGCTCTGGAGAAACCTGGGTGGGCAGGGGGATGTGGGGACAGGGGCAGTGCTGGGCACTATGGTGGGCACCACGCTGGGCACCCACCATGCTCCCAAACCCTCCTGGTGCTTCCAAAGCCACCTGCTGCCTCCTGGGCAGGGACAACACAGCCTGACAGTGCCAGGGCCTGGCCCAGGTGGGCATGGCAAGGCTGGGAGGGATGGATGGATGGATGGAGGGATGGAGGATGGATGGATGGATGGATGGATGGATGGATGGATGGATGGATGGATGGATGGAGGGATGGATGGATGATGGATGGATGGATGGATGGATGGATGGATGGATGGATGGATGGAGGGATGGATGGATGATGGATGGATGATGGATGGATGGATGGATGGATGGATGGATAGATGATGGATGGAGGATGGATGGATGGATGGATGGATGGATGGATGGATGGATGAGGGAGGGATGATGGAGGGATGGAAGAGGGATGGATGGATGGATGGATGGATGGATGGATGGATGGATGGATGATGGATGGATGATGGATGGATGGATGGACGGATGGATGGATGGATGATGGATGGATGGATGATGGATGGATGATGGATGGATGGATGGATGGATGAGGGATGGATGGATGATGGATGGACGGATGGATGATGGATGGATGGATGGATGGATGGATGGATGAGGGATGGATGATGGATGGATGGATGGATGGATGGATGGATGGATGAGGGATGGATGATGGAGGGATGGATGGATGGATGGATGGATGGATGAGGGATGGATGGATGGATGAGGGATGGATGATGGATGGATGGATGGATGGAGGATGGATGGAGGGATGGATGGATGGATGGATGGATGGATGGAGGATGGATGGAGGGATGGATGGATGATGGATGGATGGATGGATGGATGGATGGATGGATGGATGGATGGATGGATGGATATCAGGGTGACCACAGAAGCTGCTGTTTCTTTGCTGCTTTCCTCCAGGTCCCAAGGTTTGATTTTGCTCACAGGATCATGGAATGGTTTGGGCTGGAAGGGACCCTAAAGACCACCCAGTGCCACCCCCTGCCATGGGCAGGGACACGTTACTTTTGGAGTGTCCCTGAAACCTTACAGGACACTCCAAAACCTGACCTTGGACACTTCCAGGGATCCAGGGGCAGCCACAGCTTCTCTGGGCACCCTGTGCCAGGGCCTCATCCTAAAAAAACTCTTCCTTCCCTCTTTTCCCCTCTCGTCCCCTCTCAGGAGCAGGTGAGGGTTTGGAGGCTGCCTCTCACCTGGCAGGGCCTGGCACAGCTGGGCAGGAGCTGGGCAGGCTCAGCAGGGACAGCAGCCAGATGCCCACAGGCATTTTTCCTCTGGGCTCAGCTCGGCCTCTGAGGGCTCAGTGCCACTTGGATGTATGACAGCAGGTGGAAACCCAGCAGTCTCCCTGGAAATGGCTGGAGGGGACTTTGATCTAAGCAGCTCTGTCAACAGCGTTAATACAATAAAAATAATCAAATTCACTCGGATGGAAATGAGAGATGGAGGGATCAGCAGAACAGCAGCACAAATCCCAGGGAATAAAGAGGATGGGAGCAACAGCACATCCCCTCTGCACCACCAGGAGTTCAGAGGCTTCTCAGAAGAGCCATGATCTTGAATTCATCAAAGTCACTGGTTTCTTTCCCCATTTTTTTTTGGGCAGGACTCGGAGCAACCTGGTCTGGTGGAAAGTGTCCTTGTTCATGGGACAGGCTGAGCTTAAAGGTCTCTTCCCATCCAATTCACTCCATAATTCTGTGAAACTCCAGCCCTGAGGGACCTGGCCACCACCTTCAGCCTGCAGGTCACTGGTGGGGACACCACAAGGGTCAGCAGTGAGCAGAAGGCTGGCACAGAGTCAGGAAAGCCATGGCTGGGGTTTTGGGATCACCTTGTGCTGCCATTCAGCCTCACCTGTAAAACACTCACCTGGATGACCTGGAAGTGTCAGGTACAGGGAATTACAGCCTGGATTCACCTCTGTTGGATCCTGTCAGTATGGTTTTGGCTCCAGGGTAACCAGTTTGTGCTTAATGGGGATAATTCACCCTCCAGATCCAATCCCTATGACAGGACACAATCCCTTTCATTCCCTCAAGGGTTTTTTACCACCACAGGACATTTGGCACCTCTGAGTGATCTCCAGAGGCTGCTGATGAGGCTGGGGCAGGCAGGGTGAGGATGGGGCCATGGCATTGCTCCTGGCACTGCTGGATAAATGAGGCTTGGGAAAAACCCAGTCCCACTGACCTGATATCCATGAGAGATGGAGCAGGAGAGGGAAGGAAGGTAAGGAAGGCAGAGTGGGGGTAGGGATGGGGAAGGGAGTTCAAACCTCCCACCCGAGGGAAGGGGCACATCAGGGAGGTCACCTGGCTGCTGGGGGGATTGTCCAGGCTCCCCTTGACTCACCCTGAACCCCCCACTCCTGCCACTGCTCCCCTCCCTTGTTTCCAGCTCTGAGCTTTGCTCGGTTGGCGAAAGGGTTAAGTTTAATTTATACTGATTTCTATTTAATATCATTCTCTCCCCGTAGGAGCCGGCAGCTGTGAGCTGATTGTAGTCCCTCATTATGCAGTCTGTATCACTAATGGCCTGTGACAAAGGCATGCCATCTTCCCGGCCTTACCCCCGAGAGCCAATTAAACACACATACTCCCTTCCTGTTTGCGGCGCATTACAATGAAATTAAACTGAATTTCAAAATCATTTTCTCCTAAAGACATCTCTTTGCAATAATTAATGCACGCTATTCCTTTGCAGCTGAAATATTCATCAGGAGTGTTGACTAAAAAAATTTTTGAAGCTGATTGCCCTGCACCCCACGTGAGGGCTGGTGATGCTCCGGTCCCAGCCCGCGGCGCCCGCCTGGCCTGGGGACTCGTGGTGACACTGCTGGCAGAGTGAGCTCTGCTCCGGGAGAACAATTAGAATAAATCACAGCTTCTTCAGGAACCAGCAATAAATCAGGTTACACAGAAGGCATCAGAAATCCAGCCCGACTCCTGCCACCACAGCACTGCTAACACACAGTAAAGAGGGGAACGGGGAAATCAGAGCTGTGGGTGGAATGGGGAAATCAGAGAATCCCAGAATCACTGAGGTTGGAAAAGACCTCCGAGGTCACCAAGTCCAACCTGTGACTGATTCCCACTGTGTCACCCAGCCCAGAGCACTGAGTGCCACATCCAGCTGTTCCTTGGACATCTCCAGGGATGGGGACTCCAGCACCTCCCTGGGCAGCCCCTGCCAGGGAGGAACAACCCTTTTCATTACGAAATTCCTGCTGATATCCAACCTGAGCCTCCCCTGGCACAGCTTGAGGCCATTTCCTCTAATCACTGGTAGCCTGGAAGTGGAGCCCAACCCCCACCTGGCTGCACCCTCCTCTCAGGGGGCTCTAGTTGGTAGTTAATGATTCTGTGACACAATCCCTGTGTAAATTGAGACAAATCCCACCTGTCTGCAAAGCTGAATTCCCAGGAAAACATTAAGCAGTGGTATTTCACGCTTAGGGGCAAAGGACCCCAAACACCCCCCATCACTCAGTGACTCACCGTGGCCAAGGCAGGCAAAGCCCCTTCCTGAGGCAGCATGGAAGCACATCAGCCTGCACTCCCAGCTCCAAGCCCTCACAGGCAGGCAGAGCTGCCGTCCTGTGCCTGTGCCAGGGGCACTGTTCCCATACCTGTCCGGAACCATCCGTCGGGCGTGAAGGCGTCCGCGCTCTCCTTGGCCCTGTTCCAGTACTCGCGGAACACCGAGGGGCCCTTCACCTGCAGCTCCCCCTCCTGTCCCTCCAGGCCCGGGGTCACCTAGGACAGGCACACAGTCAGTGCAGCTCCCTGGCACCTGGCCCCCAGTGTCACATTGCTCTGGCTGCCCTGGGTGACCCGAGACCCTGGCAGGGGGCTCAGAGACCTTGGCACGGAGGCACAGACACCTGTGCCTTCCATTGTAGCCCATGGAAACAATTCCCAACTTTGTGTGAGGAGTTACAAGCCACAAGAGTTTGAGTAGAATGATAGTTAATTTGTCACAGGGTGAAAAAGTAGAATTTTGGGGTTTTAGAATGGGGGTTCAAGAGGCAAAATGGAGGAATCTGGGCATGTCCTGTCCTTCTTCTTCTTGTCCTCCATCTTCTGCTGTGATGGTGACACTTTTGGATTGGTTTAGAGGAGAGACAGACTGTCTAACATAGGGATAGGTATGGAAAATTATTGTAAATAAAGGACACTTAGTTTTTAGTATAAAAAGCCAACACCACCCCAAGGGCAGTGGCTGTGCCACAACCTGACCTGCAGGACAGATCTCAGCAGGTCAGAGAAAGAATGGAACAGATAAGAGAAAATAAACAACCTTGAAAAGCAGAGCCAACAAATCTCAACTTCTTCTTTGGTCACGGGGCTGGGAAAAAGAGACTTTCTGATACCTTGGGGGTCATTTCAGCACAGAAACCCAAGAGCCCAGCAGCACAGCAGGCAGGGTGACACACAGGAGCCACAGCATGGGCTCTTCCAGCCCTGGCCAAGCTCCACCACACCCTGCCCACCTGCAGGACCTCTCTGCCCAGGTGGAAGGGCTCATCCAGGTGCTTTTGATGTTCCAAAGCACTGGGAATGAGCACCTGTGTTACATGAAAACAAGGATTGCCATCCTGGAACTTCCAGCTCCTGGGAGACAGGTCACACATGCAGGTGTGCAGGAAATGATCTTGGGAATGGGATGGTCCTTTCTGAGCCCTTCCAGGGATCCAGGGGCAGCCACAGCTGCTCTGGGCACCCTGTGCCAGGGCCTGCTCACCCTCACAGCCAGGAAATCCTTCCCAATATCCCATCTAAACCCATTCTCTGTCAGTTGAAATCCACAACCGAGGTGTGCAAAGGCACTGCTGGGATGGAAGGGTGCTGTGGGATGTGCCTGGACACACTGCTCCATGCAGAACAGCTCAGGAACAGGAATTTCAAGCCCCTTTCCCAGCCACTTTGTACTTGAGCTGCTGCAATGGCCAGGATCCATCTGGGACCCCAAAAATCAGCAGTGCCAGAAGCAGGGCCACGAGGGAAAGCTGTAATAGCAGTGCTGGAGCGCCAGGCAGTCCCAGGGCAGGGCGGGCTCTCTGCAGCCTCTGATGGAAACAAAGCCTCCCTAATGGAAAACCCTTAGAAAACTGCTTCCAAGGCATCATTTTAAAGTGTTTCCTTCCTGATGTCCTGCCCTGGAGGATGGGGTGACGAGGGGATCTCTGCACACACAGCCCAGGCTTCCTGAGCCCTGGTTGGGGATCAATTCCCTGCCTGGAAGATGCTGCAGGGAAGAAAAGTCCTTGATGCCAGGGAGGGATTTTGCTGAGTGATGGCAAGGTGGGGATGGTGCTGGGTGAGTTCTCCCCATGGATCTGAAAGATGGAGTTGAAGTCCAGACTATCCATGAGGTCTGGAGGGCCTGGAGCAAAACTCCACACTTGCATCAGCAAAGGGCACAAAGGAGCCAAAAAAGGGCACAAAGAGGCACAAAAAAGGGCACAACAGGCACAAAGGACACAAAGCCCCCATGGACAAGAGTGGCAGGGACGTGGTGGGTGACACAGAAGGACCAGCAAGGCTGCTTTCAGGGCTCTTACAGGCTGTGTGGAGTTTTATGATGCAGCTCTTTCTTCTCGCTCCTTTTCCTGATGTTCCAGCTGTGGCATCACAGAACAAGCAGCTTCCTGAGCAGTGTCCTGGTGTTCAGGCTCCTTCCCACTCCCCAGAAGGGCTGGGGAGGGGATGGCAGAGCTGAGAACCTGCAAACAGTTCCCTGAACTTCACCTACACACCCTGCCAGGCTCTGGCTTCTTCTTGTCAGCCCTGAACACAAGGAGAGCTGTAAATCTGTCTGCTACAAACCCCTCCAGCCCCATCCTGCCCAGGATTCCACGGTGCCAGGTACCTGCACAGCCCCAGGGATCAATCCTGCCCTGATTTACCTGCCCAGTGCCATGTCTGGTGTGAATCAAGCCTTGAACCCGCTCCAAACTTCCTGTCATATCAACTCAAATTTTGGCAGCGGCTCAACCCACATCTTATCTCGAGCAGAGCCCCTTGGCAGCAGGCACCTCCCTGTTGTGTAATTTAATGATGTTATGGCTGGCTTGCACACAGTAAAACAGAGAGGCCGTGACGTTATCTTAATAGGATTTTGCTTGCTGCCCTCAGAGTGTCACCAGCTCTGCTCCCAGCATGGCACAGGGCACAGACAGCCCCAGCTCTGCTCCCAGTGAGGCACAAACAGCCCCAGCTCTGCTCCCAGTGTGGCACAGGGGCACAGACAGCCCCAGCTCTGCTCCCAGCATGGCACAGGGGCACAGACAGCCCCAGCTCTGCTTCCAGTGTGGCACAGGGGCACAGACAGCCCCAGCTCTGCTCCCAGCATGGCACAGGGGCACAAACAGCCCCAGCTCTGCTCCCAGTGTGGCACAGGGGCACAGACAGCCCCAGCTCTGCTTCCAGTGTGGCACAAACAGCCCCAGCTCTGCTCCCAGTGTGGCACAGGGGCACAGACAGCCCCAGCTCTGCTCCCAGTGTGGCACAGGGGCACAGAGAGCCCCAGCTCTGCTCCCAGCATGGCACAGGGGCACAGACAGCCCCAGCTCTGCTCCCAGCATGGCACAGGGCACAGACAGCCCCAGCTCTGCTCCCAGTGTGGCACAGGGGCACAGACAGCCCCAGCACTGCTCCCAGTGTGGCACAGGGGCACAGACAGCCCCAGCTCTGCTCCCAGTGTGGCACAGGGGCACAGACAGCCCCAGCACTGCTCCCAGTGTGGCACAGGGGCAAAGACAGCCCCAGCTCTGCTCCCAGTGAGGCACAGGGGCACAGACAGCCCCAGCACTGCTCCCAGTGTGGCACAGGGGCACAGACAGCCCCAGCACTGCTCCCAGTGTGGCACAGACAGCCCCAGCTCTGCTCCCAGTGGGGCACAGGGGCACAGACAGCCCCAGCTCTGCTCCCAGCATGGCACAGGGGCACAGACAGCCCCAGCACTGCTCCCCCACGGCAGCAACTCCAATTCCAGGTTCAAGGCATTCATCTCTTCCAAGCTGATCCCCCTGCAGTCCCAGGTACACCATGCTGGCTGGCTCTGGCAGCAGGGATGGCAGCACACAGCTGGGGTGGCTGTTTCCTCTCTCACTCCAGTCCTGGTGGCTCCTGTTGTTCCAGCAAGGCTCCATGGCACAAGCAGCTGCTGAAGGCATCACACTGCTGAGTGCACGATCTCCCCCTCTCCCAGGGCCATATTTTAATGCATTCCAGCAAGTTTAACAGCCAGGCACAGCGTGGCCCTGAAGGTTGTTAGAGAGCTCCCTCCTCTAAAGCCAGTCGAGCTGGACCAGCCAGCTGACGAGATAAGATTCCATTTTCCACGCACGGAAATAAAAAGGTTGTAATAAATCCTTTGAAGGCCTAAATCTGGGTGATTAGAAAATGCATATTTCCCCCTCTCCCCGTTCCCCTTTTCCCTCTTTATTAGGAGGGTGGTTTGTAAAGAGCTGGGAATCCCTGGCTGGCACAGGGCCCTGGGTCTGTTCAAAGGGGCCGTTTGTTGGTTTGTTTCCTGCGGTCTCTGCCCCGCCGGGAGCTGCAGCTCGCAGCTCTAATGGATCTCATGGAATTAGGGGAGGCTCAGAGCTGCCTGTCCTTCTCTGGGAAGCAGGGGAGGCACGGTGGATTCCTAAGCAGGAACATGTGGGAGACACAGAGGGGAAGCTGGAAGGGGAGGTTTGTTTGAAGGTGAGGTTTGAGGAGGTGAGAGCATGTTCTTGGGCTGGGGACTTTTAGGAGAAAACCCAAACACCTTCAGGCTGCAAACAGGTTTCTGAGAGATCCACTTAAACTCTACCAGATGCCTCCTTTCCCCTTCACCTCCCAAATACTCACAGTCATGGAAGTGTCTGGGTTAAAGAGACTTCAAAGTTTACCCAGTCCCACCATGGGCAGGGACACCTTCCCCTATCCCAGGCTGCTCCAAGCCCCATCCAGCCTGGCCTTGGGCACTGCCAGGGATCCAGGGGCAGCCACAGCTGCTCTGGGCACCTGTGCCAGGGCCTGCCCACCCTCACAGAGAAGGATTTCTCCCTGGTATCCCACCTAAGCTTTCCCAATTTCAGTTTAAAGCCATTCCCTGTGTCCTGTCCCTCCATCCCTTGTCCCCAGTCCCTCTCCAGCTCTCCTGGAGCCCCTTTAGGCCCTGGAAGGGGCTCTGAGCTCTCCCTGGAGCCTTCTCCTGCACAGGGACCTGAAGTTGGTTTTGCAGAACCTCTTTCCTGGGGGAGAACCAAAGGCTGTGGATCAGCAGGGACCTCAAAAAGGAGCTTATAACTCCATGAGGCAAAAGCATTTTGACTTGTGGGGAGGAAATAAATGCTTCTGCAGCCCTGCCTCCTCCCTGCTGTGCTGCTCAGCTTGGAAGTGCTTGGCATTTTTCCCCACCTTGTAAATAAATGATTACTGTGATCAAAATAATTAAGCAACTGAGCCCTAAAGTGACTAATAGAAGACAATAATTTATGTATGTGAGGTTTATGGAAGTGACGGAGCCCTTTTACTTCTTCTGCCAGAGAAGTCACTTCTTCCTGGTGTTTGTTGGGCTTTTTTAACATATCAGAGCACAGGAAATGATACAACAAAGCCTGAAGGACTGCTCCAGCTCTGTCCTGCACCACAAGTCAGGCTCTCCACTCCTCTGCTGGACCTTAACTGCACCAGCCCCTCCAGACACCTCCCTGTCCCCTCCATCACCCCTGCAAGGCTTTGGTGGCCCAGAGCCTTGTCCC